AGAGATTGATTGATATAAACGAATTTTGACAATTAAAATACACAAAACGCTGCTAATTTAAACTAATTATGAAGTTTTGATGCGTATGGGGTATTATTATAAATGAATAAATAAATAAATGAATAAATTAATGAATAAATAAATAAATAAATAAATTAATAAATTAATGAATAAATAAATAAATAAATAAATTAATAAATTAATGAATAAATAAATTAATAAATTAATGAATAAATTAATAAATTAATAAATAAATTAATGAATAAATAAATAAATAAATAAATGAATAAATAAATAAATGAATAAATAAATAAATGAATAAATAAATAAATAAAATGAAATATAAAATAATAATTAAAATTATAAAGAAAATTAAAAAAAACAATGGCATAAAAACTTTGTATAAAATAAATAAAAAATAAATATAATTAACGTACTCCTAGCATATAAAAAAAACGGTTCCTTTCAGAAATACTGACATCCCGCCAAAAGACGTTAAATTCAATCTCTTCACCACGGACCTTGTTACGGGCAACACGTGTTCTCTGTGATATGGATAGTAATACTACAGAGTACATTCCGGCTTTTAGAGATCATTCTAGTTCCACGTGTCATGCCCCTTCTGGGTGTCTCAGTTATTTCTCTTTAATTGAACTCTTCAAGTGGATAAAGGCGTTGGTTAGATCCAGTGGCTAGACCAAAAGAGTTATGAGTTCAGTACCAGGCTACATCATAGCTGAACCAAAAATTGGAGAGTCGAGCTAAAGGGAAATAACTGAAACATCCGTAAGATGCATGGCACGTGGAACTAGAACAATCTACCCCAGTGGACAAAATAAAGTATTCGGATCGAAATTCCAGTCACTTGAAGACCGGAGCGTACAACAGCCGAAACGTTGTGAATATGACAATGAAGATTAGGATAATAACAGACCGAATAATGTAAACAATGTAATTAATCCTGCTATCCCATAAAGAAACCTTCTTTATGTGAAGAAAGCTGTGAATGGATTAAGCCTTAAAAAAATGTTTTCTAACAATAGGTGAAGTAATGGATAGCGGCTCGGATTGAGGAATCAGGGAGCCGAGTTCGAATTCCAGTCGAATTCATAACATTCACTTACGTGCTAATAACCTTGGGAAAGGTATGAAACCACTTTTTTCTACCCCCCCCAGCTATGGATACATATACCGGGTTCTGTAGCCTTGGATAACAACTCCTCTACCGCAGAAAGAAATGGCAACCTATTGCGGGAAAAAAATCTGCCTCGTCAGTCATGTATCGAAAGATACATGATCGTTTCGTGTCTTGGGAAAGGTATGAATCGTCTTCGTCACCGATGGCACATAACTGACTGACTTACTTTCCACTCGAATCCATTATATTCACTTACGTGCTAATACCCTTGGGAAAGGTATGGATCCTCTTCTTAAGGCTATGGGTAAATAGCAGGACAGACCTGATTCTATAGCCTTGGATAACAACTCCTTTACCGCAGAAAGAAATGGCAACCTATTGCCTGAAAAAATCTGCTTCGTCAGTCATGTATCGAAAGATACATGATCGCCTAAGCGTGTATCACGCATGGCACATAACTGACTGACGGTAATATATATGATATATTTCAAAGTTAGGGAGGCCTAATATTCCGTAAAGGTCGACTTAATGTCAAGAAAGTCTCAATTTGACATTACAATTTGTATTAAAATTTCCTTGCAATTGCAAATGAGATTGCGATTTTGTCCACTTTTTGAAGCGTCCAGGATGAGATAATAAACAACATGCAACAGCAAGGCCTCTGTTCAGGAGGTTTTGAGGAGCGTGGCAGCACCTGATAGGAACCCCAGCTATCGGCAAATAGTTAACTCCCAAACTGGCGTCAAAACACTAAGAAAGTGTAAAAATAGGTTTTAATACCAGAAATACTTTGTATAAAAAATTATTATCAGCAATGTGATTTTTTTCTTGGATTCTACAAAATTACGTCGCTTCTTTAAAACCAAAAATGATACCTGAATTCATGGACCTCGATAATCATAAACAAACAACGTTGCACTTACACTTCTCAAGGAATACTATCGCCAGAACTCCTACTTGTAGCTAAAATAAGTGAATCGTGTTGGGGGGAGGGGGTTACGCTAAAATCATTAATTTAGTTTTAAATATCAGGGTTTAGGCTCTTTTTAACCACCAGAATTTAGCTGTCAGTTTTTAATATTTCTTGAAGGCAGCGGAAAAGAATAATGGTACTCTTTGAAACTTCCTGTTCTCTACCCGAACAAACACTTTTGAACACATCTGACATTTGTCTTGTGTTCTACAAGAAATTCAGTATTTACATTTATTAACTGAGACACGGTGGAGTAAAGGATAGCGACTCGGATTGAGGAATTGGAGAGTCGAGTTCGAATTCCAGTTGAACCCATTTTCGTGTCTTGGGAAACGTATGAATCGTCTTCTTCATCCCCACGACAGACTTGGTTCTTATAGCCTTGGGTGGCAACCGGTCTAAGAGAAAGTAAATCTGAATTCAAAACTTTATGTAGTACTGGCGTAGCACGTACTATACAGCTAAAGAAAGGGTCGTTCGCATTGGCTCCTTGATTCCGACTACGTAACTTGCTTCATTGAGAACACGAGCAGAGACAAAGAGATGTCTGTTGCAATCAGGCGCGTCGCTCTGGTACAGATGGAAGAAGTAATTCCTGTGGGCTATAGCGGCTGAAAATATAGGTGAGAACCAAGGAGATGAACGAGGTTTAATTTGGTATTTCCTTGCTAGAATGAAAACATCGATGTCGGCTTCCAGTGAATAGGAGAGAGCAGACGCGCATTTATGAACAGGGCGATTAAAAAGTTCTTTCCCTGGGAGGTCACGAAGGAAATCACGGAACGAGTCCCAATCTGCTCATTCATAACCGAGAAGGATAGTCTGTTGGTAGAAGCTTCTTGGCAGATGGGGGAGAGGAAGGAGTTGTTTACAAACATTACTGCATGATCAGAGTTGCCAAGAGGGCAGAGTTGCGTAGTATGACAAAAGTCAGGGATAGAGGCAAAAATATATCGACAAGCGAAGCAAGTCTGTCAGGATTACTGGGGAAAAGCGTGGGGAAGTCAACCACATGCGTGAGTAATTGACTGATTGAGAAGTTAAGGATTTGGATGCCAACGAGGTCAGTGGCAGAATGTTCAAACTACATGGTATGGTGGGCGTTAAAGTCCCCGAACACGAATATGTTTGCAAAAGGGTTTAGGGAGGAGAAGTCCCTATTAACGGAAATACTATCTAGCATGCAACAGTCTTGAGAGGAAGCGGAACGATAGAGAAAGAAGAGATAGCTGAGTTAAGTAGAGAGAAACGGAGACACATGCACGTATGGTGTGGAGATTCAAGAGAGAGTTCCCCAACCAGCTGGAGATTTACGCGGACATAAACACCTAGTCCAGGCATGTGGATCTTTGAGACCTTTCTGAGGAGAGGAAGGTAGCTACGAATCGAGAAATCAGAGGAGGGTATTGAAGAGTTGATAACAGAAGAATATTTTGCTGGTAGAAGGTTCTTGGCAGACGGGGAAGTGGAAGGAGATGTTTACAGACATTACTGCATAATCAGAGTTGCCAAGAAGGCAGAGTCAAGTATTGAAGCAAAAAGAGATCGAGAAACGAACCGTGTCCGCCAGGGTTACAGGGGAAAAGCGTGGGTAAGTCAACCACATGCCTGAGAAATTGACTGATTGAGAAGTTAATGTTTTGGCTGCCAACGAGTTTAGGGGCAGAGTGTTTAAGCTCCCTGCTATGGTGGGTATTAAAGTCGCCGAACACGAATATAGTTTGCAAGCCTGTGTAGGGAGATGTCCTTGTCTATATTATCGGAAATACTATCCAGCATGCAACAGTCTTGAGAGGAAGCGGAACGGTAGAGAAAGAAGAGATAGCTGATAGTTAAGTAGAGAGAAACGGGGACAGATGCACGTATGATCTGGAGATTCTAGAGAGAGTTCCCTAGCCAGCTGGAGTTGTTTACAAACATTACTATATGATCAGAGTTACCAAGAGGGCAGAGCTGCGCAGTATGACATGAGTCAGGGATAGAGGCAAAAAGAAATCGAGAAGCGAATCGTGTCCGTCAGGGTTACTGGGGAAAAGCGTGGGTAAGTCAACCACATGCGTGAGAAATTGACTGATTGAGAAGTTAATGATTTGGATGCCAACGAGATCAGCCCCCTCGTATGGTGGGTATTAAAGTCACCGAACACGGATATGTTTGCAAGCCGGTGTAGGGAGAAGTCCTTGTCTATATTATGGGAAATACTATCCAGCATTCAACAGTCTTGAGAGGAAGCGGAACGATATAGAAAGAAGAGATAGCTGTAGAGTCAAGTGGAGAGAAACGGAATCACGGAACGACTCGCAATCAACTTCTGTTATTGACCATTCGTTGACAACAGAAAGATATTCCGTTGGTATGAGGTCCTTGGCTGGTGAGAGAGCGGAAGGAGATGTTTACAGACCCTTAGAGAAAGAAGAGATCGCTGACTGAGTTTCAAGTAGAGAGAGACGGAGACATATGCACGAAAGATCTGGAGATTAAAGAGAGTGTTCCCTCGCCAGCGGGAGATGTTCGCGGACATAAACTGCCATGCATGTTAACTTACAGTCGAATAATGGTGATGAATTGTTCAAGAAGTTTTCCAATTTTGGCGTTGATAATGGGCTACTCAACGGCAAACAAAAAAAAGTTCCCCGCCCGTACAAAATAAAATGCTCCTTTATTGGTACAATAAGAATTAAGTAGTCCCATATTGAACCAATTAGTAATTTGATGGCATCGCACAGAACTGTTCTCGAAGTGAATTCTTTTAAACGCTTGCTGTGAATTCTTTTCGTTACGCTAGGATTCATCGAATACAAGGCTCGAGAACAGCTCAAGGTAGAGAATTACTGTTAAAATTGGTGATGCCTATTTTAAATTAATTTTTAGTTTAAGTCTTTGTTTCAGCTCACACTCCAAACCTATGCGTTTTCGTTAATTACTTCCGGGTATCTTTCTAGAGATTATTGTAAGTTTGGAATTGGTCTGCTTTCTCTCTCACTCTATCCCTCTCTCTCTCTCTCACTCTATCTCTCTCTCTCTCTCTCTCTCGATCTGTCTATATATCTATTTATCTATCTATTTCTCAGTCTCTGTCTCTTTCGCTATCTATCTCTCTGTGTCCCCACTCTCTATCTCTCTACCTCCCTGTCTCTATCGCTCACTATCTCTTTCTGTCTATCTATCGCTGTATATTTCTCTCTGTCACTCTCTCTCTCTCTCTCTCACGCTATCTCTCTCCGCGTTTCCTTCTCTCTATCTATGTTTCTCTTTATCTCTCACTCGCTAGCTCTATCTATCTTTCTCTGTCTGTCTGTCTATCATTCTATCTTTCTCTCTGTCTCTCTATCTCTGTCTGTGTCTCCCTCTTTCTCTATCTCTCTGCCTCTCTCACACGCTATCTCTCTCTTTCTCTCTCTCTATATATATCTGTCTGTCTCCATCTTTCTGTCTCTCTTTGTCTCTCTCTCCCTATCTCTAACTCTGTCTGTCTGTCTGTCTGTCTCTCTCTCTATCTATCTATCTATCTATCTATCTATATTTTCTGCCAACGTTTCTCATTATCGTGGGGCCGTTTATTCGTGGGGCCTTTTGCCTGCACAAAACTCGCTGGTCTTTGGCTTTTGTTATTTGCCTTTCAATTTTACCTTATCGCGCTCAAATTTTTGCTTCAGTGTCTATTTATCTCCATGGCTTTGATAATTTCCTCTAGTTAAAACCGATTTTAAAATCTTCCGTCAAAAAAAAAAAGTCCAAATTTTGCCAAAAAACAAACTCTTTGTCAAAACTGCCAGTCGAAGTTTTCTAGGGTTGTTAACATAGATTAGAGAGTCACTGATGCCTATGGCATTGATTTGATCATTGTGGTAAACAAATTCCGTAATTACAAGTCCATTTGGGCGAATGTCAACTTTGAAAAGCACTAGCTCACTACCACCGCCATTTATAAGTGTTTATAATGATTAAGTGCTACTTGATTCAGGCCTGATCACTGGACATCAACAGTCGGATTTAAGGTTTTAAAAGATTTGTGTATGTTTACTTAAAGATAAAAAAAAGAAAAGAAAAAATCTACGCAAAAGGGAAAAAAAGATTTGGGCCAATGAAAATAAACCAATAAAATAAATGAAAAAGAAGAAAAATAAACAGAAATATAAATAATAAGAAAGAAAGAAAGAAAGAAGGAAAGAAAGAAAGGAATCATGTCAAAAAAGAAATAAAGAAAGCAAAAAAGAAAGAAAGAAAGAAAGAAAGAAAAATGTTAACGAAAGAAAGAAAGAACGTCAAAAACGAAAGAAAGAAAGAAAGAACGTCAAAGAAAGAAAGCAAGCAAGCAAAAGAGAAAGAAAGAAAAAGGTAAAGAAAGAGCGCCAAAGAAAGAAAGAAAGAAAGAAAGAAAAGTTTAAAGAAAGAGTGCCAAAGAAAGAAAGAAAGAAAAAGGGGAAAAAAAGAGCGCCAAAGAAAGAAAGAAAGCAAAAACGCCAAAAAAGAAAGAAAGAAAAAATGTCAACGAAAGTAAGAAAGAACGTCGAAAACGAAAGAAAGAAAGAACGTCAAAAAAGAAGAAAAGAAAGAAAAAACGTCAAAGAAAGCAAGAACGCCAAAGAAAAAAAGAAAGAAAAAAACAAAGAAAGAACCTCAAAAAAAGAAAGCAAGCAAGATCGTCAAAGAAAGAAAGCAAAAAAGGAAAGACGTGCGCCAAAGAAAGAAAGAAAGAAAGAAAAAAAGAAAGAAAGAACGTCACCGAAAGAAAGAAAAAAAAAGCACAATGTCAAAGAAAGAAAGAAAGAAAGAAAGGAAGAAAAGGATTCGGAAAACTTAAAAACGAATTAAGAAAGGAAGAAATATAGGAAGAAACAGGTAAATAGACACATTGACGAGAAGAAGAAAAGAAAGGAAAATGGAAAAAAAGAAAGGAAAAAGAATGAAAATAGGATTTGCTGAAGAAAGAAGTAAATTAAAATAAAAAAGAGAGAAAAAGTAAAAGACGATAGACAAAGTAAAAAGAAAATAAAAGGTATCGTGAAAGTAAAGAGAAAAAATATGTGTGTGTGTGTTTGTGTGTTTGTGTGTGTTTGTGTGTGCGTGTATTTACTACTACCAACACTATCCGGCGAGATTTACCGATTGGCTACAGAGAGACTCACAGCTCAGCAACGCGTTATATTTCCCTTTTAAGGAAAGCCTATTGCTCATCCAGATATATTCTTCGAAAGCCCATATGTTCTCATTTCCTTTTCCGAAACGTTAGGACAGCAACTAAGAATTAATGGATTTATTTTTAATAAGAAAAAATCAAATTAAAAAAGAAAGAAAAAAAAAGAGCTGAAGAAGATAGAGAAAGGAAAAACAAAACATAAAGTGACGTGAATGGAAAGAAAAAAAAAATTATACTATACTTCGTACTTATATATATATATATATATATATATATATATATATATATATATATATATATATAGCCCCCGGCAACAAAAAAATTAGATGACTTCGAGAAAGACTTTACTGACCTAGTTAGAAACATAAAATTCCATAAAATCAAGATGCATTCCAAAAAAAAAACAAAAAAAAAACTAAAAGAAAATATAATTAAAATAAACAATTCAGCAAAAGTATTTATCGCAGCTGACAAAACAAGAAATTTATACAAACTAAGCCCCTCCTCCTACGCACAATAAATTACTCAAGAACAACATAACGAAAACATACTAAAAGGCACCCCAAACAATAGAACACGATATCAATAAGGAAGCTAAAACAATCGCCCAAAAATTAGACCTAGATGACCGAATAAGTTGTATCAGCAAGGCGCAAGCCTTTATCACACTAAAAGACCACAAAGAAAATTTCAAAACCAACCCTGCATGCAGACTCATAAACTCAGCCAAAAGCGAACTAGGTAAAATAAGTAAAACGATACTAGAAAGAATTAATTCTGAACTTAGGAAGAACTTAGGAGTAAACCAGTGGAAAAACACAAAAGCAACTATAGACTGGTTCCACAGCATAAATAACAAACAAAATTGCCAATTCCTACAATTAGACATAAAAGAATTTTACCCATCCATAACAGAACGCATGTTAGATAAGGCCATCAACTTAGCTCAGGAATAAACAATAATAAAACCAAGCGATATTTGATACTACAATGGGAAGCTTTGACGGTGTAGAACATACGAAATCATAGGTATTTACTTACTACATGAACTAAGCAAAATAATAGATAGAAATGACACAGAACTCTACAGGGACGACGGTCTCATAATCTTAAGAAACTGTAACAAACAAAATACAGACAAAACTAGAAAAGCAATAATAAAGATTTTCAAAAATAACGAATTCGACATAGATATAAAAACCAACCTAAACGAAGTAGATTTTCTAGATGTTACCTTCAACCTAAGAAAAGGAACATTTAAACCATATAGAAAACCCAATGATAAACCACTCTATATATATACACATCTTCCAACCACCCGCCTTCTATAATCAAACAGATACCAAAATCGATTAACCGCAGGCTTTCCAACAATTCCTTCAATGAATCCATATTTAACAAAGCTAAGAAAGACTATGAAACAGCCCTAAAAGATAGCGGACTCCCAGCAACACTCACATACTCACCACAGAACACAAAAAGGCCAACAGGAGAGGAGATATCATATGGTTCAACCAACCGTACAGTAAAAACATAAAAAAAACAAACGTAGGAAAACATTCTTCAAACTCTTACACAAACACTTCCTGGAATCAAGCACCCTACACAAAATATTCAACAAAAACACAGTAAAAATCAGCTACAGTTGCACCGAGAATATAGCACAAATAATAAAAAAGCACAACTGGAAAATTATCAACAAACCACACGAACAAATTAAACCCACGTGCAACTGCAGAATAAAGAAAGAATGTCCCTTAAATGGAAATTGTTTACAAAACAACGTAATATACCAAGCCACGATAAAATCACCAGATAATGAAGAAAATTATACATAGGATTAATTGAATGTCCCTGGAAACAAAGAAATTATACACACAAAACATCTTTCACAAATAGTAAATATGCGAACAGCACAATGCTTTCTAAGTATATTTGGGAAATTAAAAACAAAACGCACATCACACCAAAAATATATTGGAGAATAAGGAAAAGATCGTCAGCCTACAACAACCAATCAAAAACTTGAAAACTTTGCTTGGAGGAAAAAATAGCTATCATTACTTTCCCAGACCAAAATAAATAAGATCCGAGCTGATCTCAAAATGCAGACGTGAAAAAAATTTTTTACTACGTTACTTAAAAATCGAAAACAGAAAAAATAAAATAAAAATAAATAATAAACAAAATAACAATTAAATAAACAAAATTAATTAACCCAAAGAAATTATCAAATCACACCTGTTAGAATAGACGAAATAGAATATTAACAAAAAAAATCCAACGAACCCAAACAAATAAAGTAAATAATAAACAAATTAGCAAACCATTATAACCAACATATTAGTTAGACTATAAAAATCAAACCAAAAAATCGGACGAAAAAAATAGCTTTAACTGTTATATAACGTTAAAAAATAGTAGTTACTTAAAAATTGAAAACCGAAAAAAGAAAATATACAAATAATAACAAGTAAACTAAATTGACCTAAATCCATCCAAATAAATAAATAAACAAACCAATCCCGATAAACTAACCATTAGAAAAAACAAATAAAGATAATCAATCTAAATAAATACAAATTAAAAACTGTTCCCGCCAAAATAATAGTTAGAATAAACTACAGCAATCAAACCCAAAATCGAACAAATAGGTTTAATTAAGTTCTCAAACCAAAACAAAACTATTAGATAAGTGATATAAACAAATTTTTACTACGTTAATAAAGACATCAATTAAAAATAAATAAATAAATATATAAGATAAGAAATAAAAATAAAAAAATAAAAATAAAAAATAAATAAAAACAAGCAAAATAATTTAACCCAAATAAATAAATAAATAAACAAATAAACGACTTCCGGTAAAATAACCGCCAAAATAGACTACCCACAATGCATCACTGACCTGTATAGATATAAATAGCCGGGAAAAATAACAGCACTCGTAGCCTGACGATTGCATATAGCATGAAACAGCCGATCGCCTCTAAGTGTTGACTTCTATGTTCACTTTTATATTTACACACGCTCTATCTCTGATATTGAGCACTTTATCCCATAAATATAGCACATCTTAAGACTATATTTCTTATATATATATATATATATATATATATATATATATATATATATATATATATATATATATATATGGTTGGTGCATAATTATCAGGCGTTTTTTGTTGGCGAGTTATTTATTAATATAAATTGCTGTTTTGTTAACTTTTTTTTAATAAAAACATTATTTTATTTTCAGGTTATCAAAATGCGTGTCGATAATCAGACGTACCGGAATAATCATTTAAAAATCTTTTTGTTGAATTTTTGTTTATAATAAATATTGTTTGAAAAACACCTGATAATTATGCACCTACTCTCTCTCTCTCTCTCTCTATATATATATATATATATATATATATATATATATATTTATATATATATATATATATATATATATATATATATAGCCGAGTGGTAAGATTATTGACATTTCAAAATCGCCCCATGGCTGATTTTTCTGGAAGGTATCTTCAGGTAT